GATGTGGAAAGCTGAGTTGTACAGGGTCCTTATTCAACATCCACACGGAGGCTCACACACTTAAAAACTTCCCAACTCAAAGTAATTTGATCCAAACCATAGGACATTAAGAGGCACAGGCCAGATTTTCTGAAACGGTTGTAGCTAATTCCAGGACACAGCACAATGTCAAGTACATAGCAGGAGCTAATGTTGAATAAAGATGCATTAAAATATACAAATATGACATTACCTCATTCCTGTGATTTATGCACAGATGGATGGCTCATGTGGTAGAAATGACACCCCAGCTAGTTCAACACAGAAAGCAAATCCCAAACTACATTACTACCTGCTCCAGAACTGCAATGACCTGTTTCTTCCCAACATGTTACTAACAATAAAAGGAGAGAGCTAATACCGATCATTCAGTGGTGAGTGTTTACTTAGCCATTCTAGCATAACAATGGAACTGCTTCATTTTAATAATACCCTCACTGACAACCCCATGAAGATAAGACACTGCATTTCAAGATGTGACTCAACTACACTGACAGTACCTGGTAAAGAGATGTAGGAACCATGACCTTCTTTAGAATACAGACATCTTAATTGGCCAATAGGTTTTGACAGTTACTACTTAAAGAAAAAAAAATTTTAAAGAGAAAATGGGAGACAGAAGCAGTAGCTTTCAACACAGGCAACTTTCATTCCTGCAACCCAACTAGGAAGTGCTACTCCAAGACAGTATGAAGTGAAGGTGGAACAAGACGTGGAAATAAGGTCTCCAAATAATGAACAAGAATGGAATCAAGTGAAAGCAGATGGTTCCACTGCCATTACCTATACAAAAGACTATGCAAAGTCAGTGGAGCCAGCATAAAGTCATGTGTTAGAACAACAGCTGATCTGTATTAGGGAAGATTAATTCACAGCACCATGGTACAAGGCCTAGGATTATTTTATGTACTCCCATTGCCTTACAAGCCGTCAGCACAATTATTGCCCTCCGATGTGAATGACTGATCTGTAACCAGAGCTAAACAGCATGCTGCTTAGGGGCCTAGGAGCTTCATGAAGATGAATTTCCATACCATCAAAGTGCTTTTCATGGGCTCCCTGATCCAACCACAAGGCCTGTTTTGCAAGTATATAGAACTCAGGATGAAGGCTTGCTGTCCAAAAGGATTTGGTCGGTTGTCACTTGGCAATTCCCAGCCAGCACAGGGGAGGAGAAGGGGGAGATAGGTAGAGATGTCTCTGCTTTGGAGGATTAAAAAAAAAAAAGAGTACAGATGCTTGCTGAATGCAACCAACTGCTGTATCCACAGCTGAATTCAATGCGCTTAACAAATAACGGCAATTTAGCTATGCTTGCGAGGAATAGCTTGAGTCACTTTGCATTAGCATCTGGCTGAGTGTTAAACTCATTTCTACATGGGGAGCATAGAAAAGGAATTTCTGTTCAAGCATCCTTTCAAGAATGTTTAAATATTTGAATATAAATTCCTTTATGCTTGCTATCATTCCTTCTTAAAGCTGTCACTTTGCTGTTCCCCTTCCCTTCTGGTGCTTAGCTATAAAAATGTTGTGCCCGATCTCCATGCACTCGTGTTTCACTTCGTAGGCTCTAAGACTGCACTGACTATCCCAATTCACGCTTTGCTTTCCTCTCTAGAGACAAAACAGAATCAACATCGTGGCTCCGTCCTAAATGTGTACCCACAGTGGCAACAGATAAAAAAGCAGCTGTGACAGAATCGCCACTACCTCCACCCCTCATGTCACCTGCACTGTGCTTCTGACTGATTAAACATCAAGTCCCATATAAACCCAGGGACGTTCAGAAGCCATCCAAATTAGCAATGTGCTCATTTTGGACAATTCTGTTGGGCTCCTAAGTGGTGATTAACTTTCAAGTTTTTACTAAGCTGTTCATGGTTTTTTTTTTCCCCCTCTTGCCGACTTGGTCTGCTTATCTATAGGATTGTACAAAGGATTGTAACTTAAAATTCCCATTCAAGACATACTAAGTACTACCAAAAGTAGTACATCATCGTCCTGAACATCGTATGACAATGGTAAACATTTTTCTGAATAAAAGCCAGTGTATGCTTAGACAAAACACCTTGAAACAAACACACCTCAAATTCACAAGTTTTGTCAGCCTTAGGTATAATAAATAATGTCAGGGTTTTAAAAATCATACTTAGTTTTATGATGAAGTCAGAATTTCCAGTTGTGCAGTTAGCATACACTTGACATGGTGCTTTTTTATATTGGAAACATATTATGACAGGCTCAGCATCCTAAATACTTAGAATATGAGCATGGGTATCATCCAAGCTTATGCTGATTAAAGAAGATTCGACAGTTTCAAATCCAGCTCATCCCCAAATACAAGTTAAGCATCTCTGTAAAGCGAAACTTTCCCTCTCAGATATTTTAAGTGCCATTTCATTTTCATACAAACTAGAGGCATAAAGAGGGATATTCATTGTCAATAAGTCTGGAGATGGGTACAGAGGATTACAAGTCTTCCCATTTCCAGATGGTTTTGATTCTCAGAGGCACCAGGACTTCTGTGTTGACAGAGGGAATAGAGAGAGAGAGAGAGAGAAGCGTCATCCTTAAGAAGATCCGAAGATTAAAAGAAAAGCATTCATCCAATTTCATTCAGTGTTCCCGGAAGGTAGATTATTTGAGGAACTAACCTTTTCTGCTCGGCAGTTGTTGAGACCCAGGCTATTCACAACAGCCACTTTCCCATCAAGCACCTGCTGTTCCCGCCGAAGTTGCTCCTTCATCTGCCGAGCTTCTTGGATCGCCTTGGTGACAGCATCGTGGTCATTTAAATAACCTGGAAATGAGACAGATTCGAGAATATGATCTGCACAAATGCATGCAGCAGCCAATCTTTAACCATTAAAGTCACTTCTCTTTTGGGTAATGGCTGGGATTGGCCATATAATAATTTCCCCACAGAATTTGTCTAAAATAAAGCAATGAATAATTGATAATGGATGCTTTAGAGTCAGGCATGAACTGCTTACCAAACACTGGCAGCAAAAGCATAATATTTAAGTGAAATATGGTTGTTTCTAAATATTTGGAAATTAGCTTGAAATGTAACTTTTATGTATACATGTTAGTTCTTAGTTGAATATTTGTTTTATAGTGTAACAATTAGAACCCTCTTTGATTTTTTTTCATGCATAGGGCATCTGAATGTTAGCACAGGAAACAGGTATTGATAATTACCTGATTACTGAATCTCTTAAAATAGTAGAACAATCAACCTGGACTTTGTGTGTAGCACTACTAGGATTGTTACCATAACAGAAGCAATAAATCACTAACAACTAATTGAAAGAATATTTCCACCTAAATCCTTTTCTGGTGAATTAAAACCACAGGTGGCAGAGGTTTGCTATGGATACAAACTTGGACTAGTTCAGGGGTTAAATTGTAAGCACAGAATGTAACCAAGCACTTGTAATTGTTTGGCAAGAAACTGTGACTATTGTTAACTATAGTCACACTTAATTCACACTCTTCAGGGGGATGGTCAGATGGCCAGTTTATATGTATAACCCCATGATCCAGAGTCAGTAAAAAGATATTATCAAAAGATTTCTCTTATACAGTAGCAGCTCCAAAGAGCAAATGAACTTCTCATTTCATATTAACCTTCCCAGTGACCCTCTATTTATTTAGTATATTTTATGAGAATGACCAAAATGACCTCAGGTTAGAAATCAAATAGGAAAAATTTATTTTGCAAATATTTAAAGTAAAACTAACATCTCATCTTTCTCCCTATTTTTTTTTAACAGGGGCATAAAATGGCATAAAATGAATCTGTAATATGAAATTGCCCAGAAAAGGGACTTGTTTGTGACATGAGGCTAAATCTACCCAGATCCATTGGTGAATCGTGACAGATGGAGGGACTGTGAGACAGAAGGCAGGCACTAATCGCACATAAAATGACCGGCTTGCCTCAACATGTTCCATGGATTCCAGCAAACTTTACACCCTAATCCATTTTTAGAACAAAAAACATCTGGGTCATAAATCCTCTAATCTGCCAAAACACGCTATTAAATCCCATGATTTGTTTAAAAACACTAAGATTAAAGAAAGGAAATATAAAATGGCTAACTGCCGTGTTAGGAAAGTGTTATTAATACTCTTTCTTTGTCTCAATTATAAATGTTCTGGTACTAAAGAGCCTTGTCTAATCATGTCAGATTACACATCCTCGTTGTATTGCTAGACTCTTCTATCTGATCTGCTGATTGCCAGAAAAAAAAAAAGAAGGGAGGGCGGGGGGAGTATTTCCTCACTGCTTAAATATTTCTATTGAACAAACTGATGTCACATTGCTGTTGTTCTTCAGCACTGGAATATTTCCTAATGATCTGTGCCCTTCCCCCCTCGCTGTACATGGGCTAAACTGGGTCCTCTGTGCAAGTTCCCTTCAGCTTTGTCCAGTTGGAGGGCGAAGGAAAGGCAACCCTAGGCGCTACCATGTGTTTTGTCTTCCAGAGCTAAACTCACTGAAGTTTATACAAAGCTCAAAACACCTCTGTTCATTATAAACACAATATGCCTTGGAAACAACTGGTCAGACCCCGGGGTATTTAGAGCTAGCATTGACTCTAACGGGCGATTGTATTTAATCTTAACGTTATCCTCAGCATTCCAACTCGGATATTCAGAACAAGTTTCGTAAACTTCACTCTGTCCGTGAACAGTAGCTTTCTAGGAAGAATTACAGCTTTGTTGACAGTGATGAGGTTGGACCTCCATAAACTCAGCCTTGATTTTCCTGCCCTGTATCCTGCAATCACGGTTTGTTTCTGTGCCTGTTTGTTTAGCATCTCCAGAGCACAGACACATTGAGATGGACTGGCACATGGTGTTGAATAAAAGCATGGATTCTTTAGGTGTTTTAGGGACTGCCAAAATAACATTATGTAGGAAAATGATTAATATAGATGATAGAGGAATGTAAGTTATTATGGAAGAGAACACCAGACACGGTTTATACAGGCTGTTTAAGTTCTGAGGTATGCGTGTGCAGGTAGAAGAGGCATTCTTTGAAAATGAACATTGTTTTAGAGATGCTTGACTTTTAGTCATAATGTGATAGGGAATTCTAACAATCACTACTGTTGCGAAGAAACATAAAGCCAGCTATGCACTGCACAGTTCAGTCCTAACAGGGTTGCTTGGTGGTTCTCTATATTTTGTTCTCGCCATAATCATTATTCCCATTTCCCTTTGGATACCCACTCTCTCAGCAAAGGGTTTGACCCCACATTTTGCAAAGACAATACTAACCTTTCTGCTCCCATCCCAACTCGTAGTCACTTTAAATATTCATTTACATCCATTTTCCCCTGTCCTTTAATGAAAGGGGTGTCCTACTTGCAGTCAATGCAAACTCCCCAAATTCCTGTCCTGCGCGTTTAGTCCTAGGATAGGCAATTCTCGCTTTCACACCCACTCCTTCCAGATCCCTGTCATCTCCAACACCTCCTCCTCTGACAACAGGCGCTCACTCTTCCTTGGTTTTGTTCTGTCTTTGTTTCTCTTGTTGTCCTTTCTAAGTCAGACTGCTCAAAGTCACTGTCTCTCATTCCCTCCTCACTCTCCAGTTCTCACAGCGTTCTTACTCCCGTTTCCCCTGGACTTCCGCTTGGCTCTCTAGTGAGCGGGTACTCTGCTTCCCCTGCAGAAGGATAGGACTGACCATGCTCTCATGCTGGGACCCCCTCCTTTTATGTGTTTCTCATCACAGAACTAACCCTCCCTCCCTCCTTCATCTTCACGTCCCGCTCCGTGGTCCTTTCTTCATGTTACACTGCAGTCTTAGGTTCTGATCATCAGAAAAAGTGTGTGATTTGCAGTTAGCAAGAAAGTTCTGCCTCTGTCATATGCCGACTGCTGAAGCTATCTTTTTATCTTTCCAAGTCTCAGCTGTCTTACTGGCAACATGGAGGTTACCATCACCACAGATGCTGTCGAGATTAACAGACACTTAAGCATAATACATGGTCCACGAATGTTTTTCATTAACTAGCACTTTATCAAGTGGTATAGCACTTTATAGCAAAGTAGAACTTAGGGACTGGATTCAGACTCATTTCCAGATAAGAATCTACCTCTTAGAAAGAGTGATAGCTGGCAAGTTATAATACATAATCTAAGTTTCTATTTTCCTCAACTTTAAAATAAATGTAAAATTGCTTGAAAGAATTAGATGCGCTTGGTATTTGCAGAGACAGTAACAATCACTGACTCTCCTTTTGGATACAGACTCCCCATTCAGCATTTTTGTTATCTGGCTTTCCCTATAACTGTACCCTGTGCCTCTGATCATTTGGGAAGAAAGAAGGAAGAGATGTTGGACAGAGAAGGTGGCTATGGTTTACAGAGGCAAAGACTGGAGTACTGCATGTATAAACAGGGGATGCTAGTGGTTGCTAGAAGCGACTCGGGACTAGGAAGAGGCACAGAACAGCCCATCTCATGGAACCTCCGGAGGGAACCAGCTCCACTGAGGCCTGGCCCTCAAACCTCTGCCCTCCAGGAGAGTGGCAGGACACATTTTTGTTTGAAGTCACCTGTTATCCTCACCTTATTAAACCTGCAGACCACTTCCAGTCTTAGAAGATTCTCCTATGAACTGTGGGTGCTCCCCAGGATTGTAGAGTAAGTACAGTTTGCTGCAAACCTTTCCAGATTTCTAGACACACATATCTTTGTACTAAGCTTCTCTACTCCCATGACTCCTGGAATGCAGTGTATCAAGCACAGAATCTGTTGCCTTCTCTGTCTGCTCTCTCTGCATCCCACGGACCTCCTCACTTGCCTGTCCAGTCACTTGGGAGTCATCCAGCTTATCTCAGAGACAACAAGCAGCCCTGCACTGGCAAGTCCACCTCTTCCTGAGCGCTCATATGTGCTTCTCCAGCCCCCCGGGCCCTGCAACACAGCTAATACCTTCCCCTCTTAACTGACCTCTCTGTGTCCAGGCTTACACCTGACTCACTTTCCTACTCTCATTTCAGGTACAGTATATGAAAACATTCAAAATATATATATATATATAAACAAAAGAAATGTACATCATATCAAAAATATCTGATGTTTAAAACCCATGTTGGGGCTGGTGTTGGGCAGGTAAAGTTATTCCTGGAATCCTACATGTATGCCTGGTTAAGTCTCAGCTGCTCCATGCTCAGTCCAACTCCCAGCTAACACGCCTGGCAAGGCAGCGCAATGTGGACCGAGCGTTGTGCTTGGGACTGGCCCAGCTCTGGCTGTTGCGGCCATCAGGGAATTGAATCAGTGGATAGAACATCTGTCTCTACATGTCTCACCTCTCTCTCTCCATAATCTCTCTGTCCTTAACTATATCAATCTTTTAAAATGTCTTGATACATATTTCTTACAGGAGTGTTTGATAAAATGAATAGCTGTAATAGTCTGCAGAATTCATCTCCTGCCCACTGCCCCCCTCAAAAAAAACATAGGAAATAATAAAGACAAATTTTTAAAAGTTTCTTTACTTTTAACTTACACCATAACTTCAAAAGATATCAACAGTCTATAGCCTTCCCGAACACACTTCAATTTTAGAAATTCTTCAGTGCCCTCACCCCACCAAAAAGAATCCCTATATGGGGTGTGTTTCAAATCTTTTAACATATCCTGTCAGTTTCTCCATGATATCATGTCTGCTCTTCTGCCCCATGCCTCTCCTGGCTGTCTCTTGCAAACCCTAGGCTTACAATGCACAAGGCTTTCTCTCTGTCCAAGCATAGGCCTTGCTCCTCTCATTCTGCCCCTGTTCTCCAAGCACTTCTCTCTCGTGGCAATGACTGCTCTTGCTGATGTGTGTGGGAATTACTGGAACATTGCTCCCTGTAACAAGGACTTCCTCACTACCCCAGATATGCTCCCTGACAAGATGAGCACTGTCCATTTTGTGCACCGTGGAGCCTTGGAAATGCGTAATTGTTTCATTGTGCTGCATTATTTGAAGGTTGCCTTTCACATCTGTCTATGGGCTGCTTGAGTACTTACTTTTTCTTTTTTGCTAATCTTTTCTTCTTTTGGCCCATGCCAGGGCCTTTAGAGGAAATAAATGCTTACTTCAGAGTTGAAAATATCTGTTTATAATTCCAAGTTCACTGATTATCTGTCTCCACATCAATGGAAGCAGTGCCATATGGCAGATGAAGATATCAAGGCAATACAAATTCTTAACTGCTTACTTATTTCAATGAGAACTTACTAGCTACTTGTGCTAGTACAGCCATAATGTGCTTCAAGTGATATTCAGCAAATATTAACATTCTTTTTATCCTGAGATCATTTATCATGATCAATTATTTGCCATCTTGTTATATAGCCATCTCTTCACTCGTGGAAGCTCCCAAGAATTAAATGATAAATGTGAAAGCAATTAGTAAACTGGAAATGGTTATACAGTGGCCAGTTTGGCTCAGTAGTTAAAATTCCAGTTAACATATCCAGAGTGCCTTGGTTCAAATTCCAGCTGTATCCAAATTCCAGCTTCCTTTGCTCCAGCCCTGGGGAGGCGGCAGGTAGCAGCTCAAGAAGTGGGTCTTGCCACTCATGTCAGAGTCCTCTGTTGAGTTTCCAAATTCCAGCCTTGGCTAGACCTAGACCCCGAGTTTGGAGGCATCTGGGGGATGAACCCATGGATAAAACTACCGCTATGTATCTCTTCCTCCATCTCAACATGGTTTATGCAAATACTGATTGCTAGATGTGGCTGAAGATAACTTTCTTCATATTCCAAGTGCTTTTAATAAATACACTTTTAAAGCCTAGACACACATTGGTATCCTTGAAATTTAAAACAGAACAAGTGAGAACAGTGTCATGAAATGATCTCTGACAGGATCTTAACATTCCCAGGTAAGCACCAGGCCTCTTTATTATATCTGGCCTTTATCTATAAAGTAACTTTTGACCGGATACTGTGGTTATCTGCTCTAATTAAGGGATCTATAATTTTAGGATAGCTGTAGTGAGAACACAGATGAGGAATGCTTTGAAAAATAGTTAAACATTGTATATGTAGATAGAACACAGGCTGAAAAGGCTCCTAAGGAAAAAGACAACATCTGGCCAAAAGATTCTAAAATTACCCACCGTTCTTCTGAATGATGTGTGCCTTTAAAGATCCCTTTCTTCAGCGCTGCCTAACATTTGCGCACTGTATGAAAAGCATTCTCTTAGAATACACTGTAAGAGTGGTCGCCAACCTGAGAAAGTTAGTGTCTGTGTTTGCAGCTAATAGATATATAGCAAAGAGCCCCATGTCATTAACAATAACTGAAGTTATCTTTGGGTCCATAGTTTTCTGTGGTTTATTAATGGCATAACACATTAATTCTTCTTTCAGGAGTGACCTTTACAACACCATTAATCCTCACGGCTTTTATCCAACCACATTATTACTCATTACAGTTTCAGCTTTCAACATCTGCATTTGTTGAAAAGAAAAAAGTAAATTGTACTGGCCTCAAATCCTTCGAAAATGTAAGGGATGTGTATGTGCTAACAGGACTTTTCAGGGGGAACAAAAAAACCTATGACATGTTTTATGTAGTGGAGAAAGTCATATGATAAATGTCTTCATACATTCTTGGCTTTGTAAAATAATCTGTCATATGTAATCCTGAATGCTGAAGGAAAAAAATCCATATGATAAAAATGCATGTATTAGTTATTACAGTATTTAAATATTTTAGTACTAGTAATATTAGAAAAGTAGCTCACATATCAACACGAAGATATTTATGGGCTTTTGTGTATAGTATGAAGTGAGTCATTCTTGCCAAATAAAATATTTTCTCTTACATACTTGGTATATAAAAGCTAATCTAATCTTACGCCCGCTTAGGAAGCTGAGCAGAGTAACTGGGAGCTGGATCCTAAAAAGTACTGATATCTCTCAAAGCTTTCTGACTCTGAAAAAATTC